AAAGGTGGCGAGCAAAGAACTTAAGTCAACCCTCCGCTGATGTACATGCATTGAGCGATAGAGAGTGGCAGTGCACCACAAAGATAGGGCTACCACTAGGAACCCAGACTGATGTACAAACCCATTGTGTCACTTGTCCAGGAACTGACCAAGAGGCCGAAACACAGGTAAAAGTGGCGCGGTTAGTGGGGAGGAAATGTGAAATCAAGTGCTACATTAACAGTTATAAGGTAGACTGTTTAATGGACACCGGTGCTCAAGTGAGCCTTCTCGACCCTCAGTGGGTGAAGACATACCTCCCAGACCATGAGCTGCGGCCATTGGCTGAACTGATCGGGCAGAAGGATCTCAGTGTGCTGATTGCCAATGGTACTGTTTTGCCATATGAGGGTTGGGTGGGAGCGATGGTGAGCCTCCCAAATAGCAGTGATCCAAACATGGTGATACAAGTGCCCTTCCTGGTGAGTAGCGTGCCCTTGAACCGCCCCCTGATTGGTTTCAATGTGGTCGAGNGCAAGAGGGTGGATTGTGAAGTCTAGATCCCCTTACTCAGCACCTGTCGTCTGCGTGCGTAAGAAAGATGGTACGCTCAGACTCTGTATCGATTACCGTCTCCTGAACCAGCGCACCATCCCAGACCGCCACCCTTTACCGAGAATCCAAGACCTCACAGACACCCTGGGCGGGTACAGTTGGTTTTCCATTCTTGACCAAGGGAAGGCGTACCACCAGGGGTTTATAGCAGAGGGGTCACGCCACCTTACTGCATTCATTACCCCCTGGGGTCTTTATGAGTGGGTGCGTATTCCGTTTGGGCTGACAAACGCACCTGCTGCATTTCAACGCAGCATGGAAGAGATGCTCTCCCCCCTGCGAGACGAATGTTGCATCCCATATTTGGATGACATTCTGTGCTATGCTCGTACATTCGAGGAGCATGTGGATGGACTCAGGAAGGTCCTGAGAGCTCTGCAGGACCATGGGGTTAAACTCAGGCCCACAAAATGTGACCTGTTCAGGTGGGAGGTTCGATATGTAGGTCGTTTGGTCTCGGCCGAGGGCGTGCGCATCGATCCCAAGGACCTGGGGGCAGTGTATGCACTGACAAAGGAAAGACCCGTTACTGTCGGAGAAGTGAGGAGAATTGTTGGGTTTTTGAGCTATTATCGCTCATATATCCAAGATTTCTCAAGACTGGCGAAACCCATCTATGACCTGTTGCAGTCGAAAACTATCCCAGAGCAGTCCCAGGGGAGGGGTGGGGGACGGAAGGGAAAGGGCACCCAACTACCCTCCAAGACCCCAGTCTGCTGGACTGAGACACACCACGAGACACTGTGCAAGCTAATTGACATGTTGGTTAACCCCCCGGTTCTTGCTTATCCAGACTTCGAGCTACCATTCGTACTCCATACGGATGCCTCTGATAAAGGACTGGGAGCAGTCCTTTACCAGTACCAAGGCGGTAAGCTCCGAGTAATCGGATACGGCTCAAGGACCCTCACACCAGCCGAAAGAAATTACAAGCTTCACTCAGGAAAACTTGAATTTCTCGCTCTCAAGTGGGCCGTCTGCGATAAATTCAGGGATTACTTGTTCTACGCCTCACATTTCACCATCTTCACAGACAATAATCCCTTGACGTATTTCATGCGGACTGCCAAGTTGAATGCTGTAGGCTTTCGGTGGGTGGGTGAACTGTCCGATTTCCGGTTTGACATACGCTACCGACCTGGCAAAGTAAATGTCGACGCAGACACCCTGTCTCGATGCCCACTCGACATTTACGCATTTGTCTCAAAGTGTACAGAAGAGCTGCCTAGAGAAACTGTCACTGCCACATGGGAAGGCTGTAAGGTGGACAAGGACGGAGACATTGCATGGGTTGCTGCCTTAGCCCTGTCACAAAGCACACAGGCTGAATTAAGCAGTGTGGAACCCATACAACCCATTGACCCTGCTGAGCTGCAAAAGGCCCAAAGGACAGATCCAGTGATTGGTGAGATCCTAAAAATGAAAGGTTCTAGTCAAATTCTCACAGATGACATGAAACGTGGTGCAGCAGGTACAGTCAGAAAAATGATGCATGAATGGACCAAGCTCCATGTTGAGGACGGAATTCTGTATCGTAAGACTGGAGAGAGACGTCAGTTAGTCCTACCTACCAGCCTTAAACCACTGGTACTCAGACACTTACACAACGACATGGGCCATGTCGGGACTGAAAGGGTCCTCAACTTGGCAAGGCAAAGATTTTACTGGCCATACATGAGGCGTGAAATTGAAGCTTATGTTACCAGACAGTGCCCATGTATAAAGCAAAAGAAGCCAGTCACTCACATAAGAGCCCCAATGTCCAGCATTAGCACAAGCTCCCCGATGGAGCTTGTCTCCATTGACTATCTCCACCTGGAACCTAGCAGAGGAGGTTACCAATACATCCTGGTTGTTGTAGACCACTTTACTAGATATGCACAGGCTTATCCGACCCATGCATATAAGATGGCGGCCGTACTGATGAAGTTTTTGTTTGTTTGTATATAGCTCCTGGATATTTCTATTTCACTTCATTCATGTGATTTTGTTCTTTAATTAATTCATTGTAAAGTGTTAATGAGACTAAAAGGTTAAATGTTAAGTTGTGCTTGGTTAAAAAGACTGACTGTTGAAACAGTAATCACTTTAAGTGTTCAGGCAGTAGAGAGAAGCTGTGCCAAGCTAGCTTAAAAGAAACAGAGGGGGCTGATTAAAGCAGCATGAGTAAAGTGTGTGTGAGTACACAGTAAGAGTTTATCCACTAATGGGAATGACCTATGTGGGAATGTATG